GAACAAATGTCCATCAGTTACTCTAATGACAGTACAAGTCAACTCTTTACATTTGTAAAGTCGCTGCACTATTTTTTACACACACACAACAGTGCAACAGTCACTTCTTTGTGCATGTCTTATACCGGATAATTGCATACATCATCCTAATGATATCACTTGTATATTATCAACATGAGGTAAGTGAAATGGACACACTTGCAGAACCCTAAATCATTAATTCTCTCTCAAGTGTGCCGCAAATTTCAAGTAAGTGAAGAACAAAGCAACAATAGAACCAAGGACCAGATCCCAGTATGAAGTCTATTATAAGTCCTTAGTATTGTTGTGTCTTTGTTAGTGTCATCTTTTTGTAACTCCTACTCAGCTTAATTAGAAGCATTTCTGTAGGAGATCTTTTGAAAAATCATAAACCCTGTGTTTGTGTTTTGGCTAGAGTTAGTCAAAGCGTGTGCTTTGTAATATAGTTATTACAAAAAGGCTTGTAATAGAGTTGTTACAAGTAGGTGGGGGATTAAGAGGCTAATTCCTAGACTACAATAGGTTGTAATCTGAAAGTTGCTCAGTTAGTGAAGTTGAAATCCTACGAGGGTAGGTCGTGATTTTTAATCCCGTGAGCTGGAGTTTTCCACATAAAACTTTGTTGTGTCTTTTAGCTTACTGCTTTGTGTGTGTTCTATGAAAACTGATAGAGAATCAGGTTATCTATACAGTTTGGTGGACCCTAAGTTTACATCAATTGGTATCAGAGCAGGTTCTCTCTACAAGGCTAACACCTAGAAAGGATCCACATGGCTTCTCCACCAAAGTTTGAAGAAAGTCAATCAACCTACAGACCACCAAGATTCAATGGATAGTATTACGGATGGTGGAAGACAAGGATGCACAATTTTATCATGGCTGATGATTTTGAGCTCTGGGATGTCATCTATAATGGCCCCTTTGTTCCCATGAATACCATTGGGGAACCAGCAATGACTGTTCCAAAAACAAGGAAGGAGTACAACGATGTTGACCGCAAAACTATAGAGAAAATATTCGAGCAAAAAAGATCCCCGTATGTGGTAATGGTCCAGATGAGTATAACAGAATCTCTGCCTGTCAATCCGGCAAGGAGATTTGTGAGGCTTTCCAAATAGCACATAAAGGGATAACTCAAGTTAAGCAGTCAAAGATCGACATGCTCACTACTGAGTATGAACTATTCAGGATGAAGGATGATGAGTCCATTCAGGACATGTATACTCGATTCCTCTCCATCATAAATGAGCTCCACTCTCTAGGAGAAATCATTCCAAGAAACAAACTTGTCAGGAAGATACTTAACGTACTACCTAGTTCTTGGGAAAGAAAAGTTAATGCCATCATAAAGGCAAAAGATCTTCAAGAGCTAACCATTGATGAATTCATTAGTAATATAAAAACTTATGAAATGAAGAAGAAGAAGGACCATGAAAGAAGAGAGAAAAGGAGAAGAACCTCGCCCTTAAGGCAGACAACAATGAGTCAAGTGGTGAGGATGTGGACATGGCCTACTTGACAAAGCGATTTCAAAAAATAGTTCGCAGGAATGGAGGCACTCCAAAAATGGGCAGCTCAAGCAAACTAAGAGGTTATGACTTGTGTCATAAATGTGGGAAGCCAGGACATTTCATCAAAGATTTTCTTCTCCTCAAGCAAGACCAGTACAAGCACAACACAAACAAAGCAACCAAAAGGAACCCGGTTCCTGACAAGAAATTCAAGAGAAAAAATGCCGCTGAAAATGTTATGAAACAAGCTTTTGCTGCATGGGGAGATTCTTTCAGTAAATATGGGGAAGATGATGAACAAGCTGACACCTCCATGATGGCAGTTGAAAGTGAAGCAGCTAAATATGACTCTATCTTTGCCCTGATGGAAAAATCTGACGATGTTGAAGATGAGATAAACTTTCTAGACGTTCAAAGAAATTTGAAGTCTTACTCTCAAAAGAAGCTTATATCCTTGGCCAATATATTAATTGATGTTTATCATAATCTTATAAATGATAAAAATGTGTTAATTGTGGAACTAGGAGAGGTATAACTTGAGAGAGATGATCTGGTAGTCGTAGTGGTTGCCCTAAAAAAGACCATTGAGGTTTTAAAGAAACAAAAATATGTTCTAACTGAAAGAATTGAAAACGTAGATCATGAGAGAGATGACATGTTGGTAGTAGTTATGGATCTAAAAGAAACAATTGAGTAATTAAAAAGGGAAACAGTTTTGGAAACATCCAAAAGGAAAGGAAGTTGCAAGTGAGGCACACATTAATCTTGAAAATAAACTCAAATTGGTGAAATCTAGTCTGTGTGCCGAACTTGAAAGAAACAGACAACTTCAGAAAAATCTAGGCAGAGTTAAAAATGACCTAGAAAAATCTCTAAAGTAGACCTGGTCCTCTGATACAATCACTGCCATGTATACAAGCAACGAGGGGAACATACAGGGAGTCGGGTTCTAAAAGGAAAGGACTCCCTACAATCCACATAGCAAGTATGTTATTGTCCCTGATAATTGGCTTTGCACTCACTGTGATAACACTGGGCACTTTAAAGAAATCCGTAAGGCTAGAATTCAGTCTCAACAGAAAAAAAAGTTTTTGTTGAAAAGGTAACTACTGCTAAAGAACCTGGTTCCTCCATTGAGAAAAGGGGAATGCCTGCTTGGACAAAAAGAAGTTTAATTCGTCCTTTTCTTCACTACAAGGGACCCAAACTTGTTTGGGTTGCTAAGTGTAATCCTTGATCTTCTTGTGCAGGGAGAAGTGAAAGGAACCAACCAAAGATGGTATATGGATAGTGGCTTCTCTAAGCATATGACTGGAAGCATTGATGATTTCATTTCCCTCAAAGCCCTGCAAGGAGGGAGTGTGTCCTTTGGCAATGGCAAAAAGGGATACATTCTAGGAGTAGGAAGAGTTAGGAAGATGCTCACTCATTCAATTGAGAATGTGTACTATGTGAGTGGCTTGAAATATAGCCTACTGAATGTCTCTCAAATTTGTGACAAAGAAAACAAAGTGGAATTCTTATCCAAGACTTGCATAGTCACAAATCTCGTGACTGGTGAAGTGGTTCTATTGGCAAAAAGATTCAAAAATATCTATGTTGCTAATTTTGAGTCTTTGCATAATGTGGATCTTACATGCCTGAGTGCATGATGTTGAGTTGTGGCACAAAAGATTTGGACATGTAAGCTTTTCACTGCTTAAAAAGTTTGTCAAGAAGGACCTGGTCCGTGGGCTGCCCAAGTCAAGGTTCAAAGATCACAAGGTGTGTGATGCATGTGTAAGAGGAAAGCAAGTCAGGTCCTCATTCAATCCCAAAAATAAAGTAAGCACCACAAGGCCACTTGATCTCCTCCATATGGATATATGTGGACCTATGAGGGTGTTAAGTAGAGGAGGAAAGAAGTACATTTTTGTCATAGTTGACGACTACTCCAGATTCATATGGACCTTGTTTCTCAAAACCAAGGATGAAACTTTTCCAGTCTTTGTTGCATTTGTGAAGCAGATTCAAGTGAAGATGAGGCATAATGTCGTGAGTATAAGGTCTGATCATGGCACAGAGTTCGAAAATACAAAATTCGATGAATTCTGTGCTAAAAATGGTATAAGTCACAATTTATCAGCTCCCAGAACACCCCAATAAAATGGTTTTATGGAGAGGAAAAATAGGACTCTTGATGACATGGCCAGAACTATGCTAATTGACAGCGGCGTAGAAAAAGGTTTTTGGGCAGAGGCAGTCAACACTGCTTGCTACTTGGTGAGTAGGTGCATAATCAGGTCCCTCATAAACAAAACTCCATATGAATTACTGAACGGGAGGAAACCCAAGCTAACTCACCTATGAACGTTTGGATGCAAATGCTTAGTTCTCAATAATGGTAAGGAAGCGCTAGGAAAATTTGATGCCAAAAGTGATGAAGGAATATTTCTTGGATATTCCTCACAAAGAAAATCATACCAGGTCTACAACAAAAGGACTCAATGTGTTGAAGAAAGCATACATGTAATCTTTGATGACTCACACCACTTATGTGGGAAAGGTTCACATGATAAAATTGATCAAGACGGAGAACAGTCAAAGGTTCCTAGAGAAGTCATTGTTATGGCAAATGGAAAGGCTGAATTGATGAGCTAGGTCAAGGAATCCAACGAAGAAAATACAATAGTTGCTTCAGCTGATACAGAAGAACCTGGTTCCTCTATCACAACAACTGAAGCAGAGGACAGAGTTGCTGATGCCGTGCAAGGAACCCCTGGTGGTGAGTAGAGAAGTGGTACTTACCCATCCATAGATGCCAACAACAGATCCCATTTTGAGAAACCTGGATCTTCACACAATGAGATTCAGGTGTCTAACTGGAAGTATAAAAGTTCACATCCTCTCCAAAATGTGATCACTCCTCTTGATTCAGAAATTCAAACCAGATCAAAGACATTCTCAACTTTTCTTTCTCAAATTGAGCCTAAAAACATCAAGGAGGCATTGAAAGATGCTGACTGGATTACTACTATGCAAAATGAACTCCATCAATTTGAGAGGAACCGTGTATGGCACCAGGTTCCTTGACCCTCAGATAGAACAGTTATAGGAACCAGGTGGGTATTCAGAAACAAGCTTGATGAGTTTGGGAATACAACAAGGAACAAGGCCAGGTTAGTAGTTCAAGGCTACAATCAAAAAGAAGGGATCGACTATGATGAGACTTTTGCCCCAGTTATTCGAATGGAAGACATCAAAATCCTCATTGCCTTTGCATCTCATACGGAATTCAAACTATTCCAAATGGATGTCAAAAGTGCATTTTGAATGAATATTTAAAAGAAGAAGTTTTCGTTAAACAACCACCTAATTTTGAGTGTCTTTAGCATTCTGAACATGTGTTCAAACTTGACAAAGTATTATATGGGCTGAAACAGGCCCCTCGTGCATGGTATGAAAGGTTTTCCAAATTTCTTCTTGAAAATGGCTTTACAAGAGGAAAAATCAACAACACCCTATTTCTTTTTGAAGAAACGGGGGAGGAACCTGCTCATTGTGCAAGTTTATGTTGACGACATCATGTTTGGTGGAACAAATGATTCCTTGTGTGAGGAATTTGTAAAGCTTATGGGAAGCAAGTTTGAAATGAGCATGATGGGGGAATTGAATTTTTTCTTAGGGTTGCAAGTTAAGCAAACCCCTAAGGGAACGATGATAAGTCAGCAGAAGTACATTAAAGAGCTCCTGAAGAGATTTGAGATGGAAAGTTCAAAGACCATTGATAGTCCTATTGCCACTGCCACTCGTCTGGACATGGATGAACCTGGTTCTCCTATGAACAAAACTATGTATAGAGGCATCATTGGTTCACTCTTGTATCTCACAGCTAGCAGACCAGATATTGTATTCAATGTGGGATTATGTGCTAGATTTCAATCCAGTCCAAAGGAATCTAATCTGAAAGCTGCCAAGAGGATTCTAAGGTATCTCAAAGGAACGCATGACCCGATTCTCTATTATCTTTCAAGAGACAATTTTGACCTAATTGGGTATGCTGGTGCTGGTTATCTGGTGGATAGAAAGAGCACATCTGGCATGGATCACTTTCTAGGGTCATGCTTAATTTCATGGGGTACAAAGAAACAAAAATCTATGACTTTTTCAACTGTAGAAGATGAATATATGGCAGCTGCCTCTTGTTGTGCTTAACAGTAGTGGATCAAGCAACAACTGGATGACTTTGGTGTGTTTTCGGATTGTGTGCCACTACTATATGATAAAACAAGTGCTCTCAACATGGCAAAGAATCCGGCTCAGCATAAGCGTATAAAGCACATTGATATGCAACATCATTTTCTCAGGGATAATGTTGAAAAAAGCCTCATGTACATAAAGTTGTGCAAAACATAGGACCAGGTAGAAGATATCTTCACCAAAGCATTGAGCAGAGAGCACTTTGAAAAGAATCGATTGGTATTAGGGCTGATGAAATCAAACAGAGTACCAGGTCCCTCAATGATTGGCTATGAAAGAATGAACAGATAAAATGCTAAAAAGTGTTTTCTAGCAAATTCTAACTCATTTCTATACCGTAGCAGGTAAACACGAATGGAAATTACAGAGTGAACAAGCAGTCAATAACCTTGCATATGAGTAAAAGGACGAAGCTCTCATTTACAAAACTCGGTCAGGGAACCTGGTTCCCTTGACGCTGGTTTGTAGCTCAGTTTGATTTCATCAACCCCATTGCTAGTTAATTCTTTTCAAAGTTCTCTCTACTTAATACGTCTACCCAATACATTACACCCATTTGTAACTGGTCCCTCACCCTCTCTAAATAACCCCAAAAGGCATCCATTTCGCAATTATCCACACCGAAGACACCAAATTCTCTTCTCTTTCAAAAGAAAACCCTATATTTCTCATGTCTCTACTTAAAAACTCTATTATGTCTTAGAATCCAGAGTTTTCCAGAACCTCTAGTGTCATTCCTACTGTGTCTTCGTCTCACAAAGCATAGGAGTGTGCGTTTGATTCTCAACCGTCACCCAGTCAAAAACCCACAACGGACCAACAACCACCTACTGACTCTTCTCCAACCCAATTGATTTTTGGTTCTCACTGCAGTCGTAAAACTCAGAACCCGAAGAGATTCATTGCTCCAACCTCTCCTCATGCCTCGTCGAGAAAATGGTAGATGACGAAACAGTGGACAGAGATGAGGGAAAAGAGGTCTCCAGTCAGAAGGTTGGGAAAATCTCTAAAACTCAACAAGATGTGGTCGACAGTGGTGAAGTATCAGTAGTGCCCGCTCCAAGCTTTGATCTGAATATAGCCACTCCGACAGGTAATATTCCCCCTACATCTTCTGATACTATTTTGGGGGTAAATGAGAGAGAAGCCATTGAGAACATGCTACTGATTTCTATAGAGGGAGGATTGGTTAGAGAATATGAGTGTGATGATAAGACCATTGGATCTCAGGTGGAAGGTGAAAGTCACAGAGTTGAAGGTAGGGAACTGGTGCCTTTTAAAAATTTGGCACCAGTTAGTAGTACTGGGGAAACAATAGAGGGACCTGATCCCTCTACCCAAGAAGAGCACTCTGCTCCTACTTGGGATGAAACCCCTTGCTCCTTAAAAGAGACCCAGAATAGTACTGATCTTGCTCCTTCTCCTCACTTCGATTCTGAGTTGTTAAACTTTATCATTCCTGAGACGAGATCTCAATCCGAAGAAGAAAATGAAAATATTGAGAAAGACTATGATAATGAGACTGTGGCAAGCTTCATTGCTGCCTTGAGTGGTAGGGAAGTTCCCAAAGAGCCCATTCTCAAAAGACCCACCACCAGGTTGCAAAAGAAAGAAGCTTATGAGACTGTTTTGAAGAAAAACAAAGAGGAAAAAAGAAGAAGGAGGTTGGTGAAATGGGGAAAGCTAGTAAATGAAGAGGATGTGCCTCCAACACATGTTGTTGATGGTAAGCTAGAAACTTGTGTTTTATCCGTAGTATTGCACTCTAATTACTGCATTTCATGTGTGTTTGAGCTTAAATGATAGTGAATTATACTTATTACGTGTTTTATGCCTTATAGGAAATGATTCTGAGCTATTTAGGTAATTTGGAGCGAAGTTGAGCAAGTTGGAGCTTTGAAGTCTGAGTAGAAGTCCAAGAAATTAAGCCGGGATCATGTTCGGGGATCGAGGACCAAGTTCGGATAGTAAAAAGTGAACACATGAATTTACTCTGAGAAAAAGCCACTACCGCGCCATATGGGGCGCTGTGCGGTAGTGCAAAAGTGGCCCGGCAAGAAATGTTCAAGCTCTCCAGATTTCCTCACTAGAGAACCGCATGGGGCAGCGCGGTGTGCGACGCGGCTGTGCAAAATCGTTAGAGTGATTTCCATGTTCGGCCGGGAAAGGGTCATTTTGTTCGGTCTTGTTTCTACACGGTATAAATACACCAAAAATACAATTTTGAAGACACATTTGACCTACGGGAGATTGGAGAACCAACCAAGGCAAGAAGACTCAAGGAGAACCAACCAAGGCAAGAAGACTCAAGAATTCATCAATACTATAACCTGCAATCGGTGCAATACAAGAGTTTGTATCTAATCATTAGAATTGATATTTTATTTGTTCTTAAAATTATTTGAGATGTATTACTCCATTGTTATGGAGTAATTTCCATTAGGATGTTGACAGATACGGTGTTTCGATAACTTGATTAGGGATTGGATTCTTGATAATTGTTAGAATTAATTGATGGAGCTTTAATTTGTATTGTGACTTATTTATTGTTTTGATTAATCGAAAGAGGAGTTTGAATTTGAATTTCTTCACATCTTATACTCTAGTTTAAATTCATGATTCAAATAGATAATCGAAAGAGCCTTCTGAATTATTAATCGAACTAGAAAATAGGAAAATATTCGTGAGAAGTTACCCTTTAAATCATAACCAACATTTGATTGTTGCAATTATTTATTGTGCTTCAATTGGATTAATTACTAAATTAACGTTTAATCGAAGGAGTAACATTAACTTCAAGTGCAATCTGATTATCGGTTGAATTCGTGAGAATCAACCGTATTATAGAGTGAATTAACTAAAGAATTGGATCCCGAGTCAGTTATCTTTCACCTATCTAGTCAAATACCCTTATCCCTCTTATTGATATTTCTTTGATGCTCATATGCTGTCTTTTGTGATCAATTGTTATTTTCTTAATTTTTAGTAGTTCACCGTAGTAACAATTATCTAATCAAGTGTTAATTTTTCTGGATAGTAATCAACTGGAGATTATTCGAACAATGTTTAAATAAAATCCCTGTGGAGATGATAATAAATATATACTATCTTTGACTAGCGAGTAATAATTTTGTGTTGTGTTTTGCACTCGACAAATTTTAGCGTCGTTGCTGGGGATTGACAATCAATAGTGTTTCAAATAGTTTTTAGCACTAATTCAGGAACCAAATTTTACTTTAGTGTATTCACGTTTCTCACTTGTGTGCATGATACATGTTTGATTTCTCTGGTGTATGACTCGATACTCTTCAAAAAAAGTGATACGCTATGAACCAGAGTTGGAGAAACACCAGCAAAAATTGAGAAAAGAAAGAGACTTAACAGAAAAATTATTGGGTCAAACTTCGGCTTAAGATACCATGGTAAACAAAGAGAATGATGGAGTATACTTATATGCAAAAGAGGCAGCACAACTAGAAGCTGCACAGAGAATTGCTGATGAGACCGTCAACGATGATGGGGGCCAAAAATTCAATCTAAATCGACCCTTGGTTAAAGACAAGTTCGAGAATGCAACATCAAGGCCTGGAAGATCATTGGGTGACTATGCTAGTCCAGTCTATAATCAAGGACTGTCAAGGGTCATACCTCCACCCATAGAAGAAAACAACATTGAATTGAAGCAAGGCTTGCTTCAAACTATCCAAAACAACTACATTTTCAGAGGAAAGGTGAACGAAGATCCTAATACTCACTTGATGGATTTTGAAGAAATCATGAACACCTTCCAATACAATAGAGTATCAAAGGATGCAGTCTACTTAAGGGCATTCCCCTTTTCATTAAAAGATGATGCGAAGCAATGGCTTCGTATCTTACCCACAGGTTCGATCAGGACATTGGAAGATATGACCAAGAAGTTTCTTAACAAGTACTTCTCAGCTGCAGAAATGGTGAAGTTCAGAAGAGAAATCCATAATTTCTGCCAGAAGGAGACAGAAATGGTTTTCGAAGCTTGGGAGAGATTCAAGGAGATAGTCAGAAAGTGTCAGCATAATAGAATTGATTTGTGGATGCAACTCCAGGATTTCTGGGATGGGCTGATACCGTCTTCGCGACAAACTCTGAATAATGCATGTGGATGACTACTAATGAAGAAAATATCGTTGGAGGTTGTTTAAATCCTTGATGAATTATCTGAGGATGATAATTGGTTTTGTTTGATTTGTTTCTTGCTTTCTTAGACAATATGGTCTGTAATCATAACTCTGAATTCTATCGGTATGTAATAGTTAGTAATTAATTGTTTAGTTTCGACTCTTCCCGATGATGTATTTCGTCGACTGGCTTCTTGAGGGATTTGAAGTCGAACGAAAAAAATAAAAAAAAATTAAAATATTTGAAAATCCAAAATATGTCTTTTGTTTTATTTTATTCTATTTTATTTTACTTTCTTAGGTAGTGTAGTAATTCTCCCTTAGTTTTTCTTTGTGCCGCAGTTCTTTTCTAAGGGTTCTACTTTAACCGGGTGTAGTTAGTTTTTTGTTTATTAGGAATAAAGAATCTTGAGTCATTGCTAATTTGAAGCAATTTTCCTTGACTGCATATGCCTTGAGAGTAGTGAGTGCCTTAGTCGTGACTCCTAGGCTCAGTTCTTGACTCATAGATAAGTGCCTTAAATTGCTTGATCGTAGCTCTGCTTAACTTCTTTGACTAGAGAGTCGGGAAAGATCCGATCCTGAGTGAGTTAAGTGCCAATATGTGTGTGAGGTTGTTGTGATATTCTGTGCATGTCAGTGATGTCTAGAACTTGCCTCGTGTGTTTGCAACGCAAAATAAAAGTCTTATTCAGTCTAGGAAGTGATATAGGCATTTCTTTATTGAGCCAATTATATGTTTGTGACTCGCCTAATTATTTTGTATCCTAGTTAGCCTCTTTGAGCCTAAAATCCCAT